CCTCAAGGCCGTCTCACTTTTCTTTTGTTAGAAAAGGAAAAAAAACACCAAGGGGCCAAGTCCCACTAGCAGCGTTGAGCTACCTCAACGCCTGAATCTGGACGTGTTTTGTGGAGACGCGCAGTTCAGGAAACTCAACACAATTTCTGCACATCTCAGCAACCGCGTCCAGATTCAGGCGTTGAGGTAGCTCAACGCTGCTAGTGGGAGTTGGCCCCAGGCACTGAAACCCGTCGGGAAACAAAAAAAAAAAAAAGAAAAAGAAAAAGAAAAAAAAAATCCGGTCCAGTCCCCACATAGAGCCCCTAACAAAACGAAAGGCCAGATTTTGCACAGACGCCGCACCCTGCTATACCGCATGAATTAAAAAAAAAAAAAAAAAAACTACCTACCCCTACTCCTAAATGTAGGCATACGGGGAGCTCGTACCGTTCACGAGAGGGCTGCTCCCGACCTGCAGGTGGCCAATACTGGGTAGGGAACAGCCAGTAGCATCTGGGACCATGCCAGGACCAATGGTGGTGGCGGGCACCAAACATGCCCAGGAAGGTACATGAGGCCAACGGAAATTGAACCCACGACCTCCTCAATGCCACTTGCGTGCCTTACCAACTGAGTTAGGCCGCTGGATTATACCGCAGCATGAATGGTGAGCTCTCTAACCAGTCCCTGAGTAATCCACCGCCCTGTAGATCGCATTCTGCACTGGCTCTGTCACTAATAACTCGGGCACAGACCCGGATTTGTGCGAGCTTAGCACAAAAATAGCACAAGTGGCGCCAGTCGGCTGTGTGTGCTATCCTCTTCCCCGGCTATCTCCCTTCCATATCTCCCTTCCGCAGTCCCTCGGTTCCAGGACTCTCGTGATGCCCTCATCACCACCGTCACCAGCGCCATAATCACGTACGTACGCGGTTCGGTGCATCCAGGAACGAGTGTGCCCTAAATCCGCTACAGGGAAAAGTATCCACGCTGTTCTCTGAGAGAGAGAGAGAGGTCGGGGCCGAGGGAACTGTCGCATGCGCCTCAGAAGTCTCTTGCATGCGCTTCTTCTCGCTGGCTCCCTCGCTCCACTGGACTGGACGGGTTCGCCACTCTCTACCGGCTGACTGCCACCATACGGTCGTGAGCTCGACGAGGTTGCACGAGGAAGTGCTGTATTATCTCTTGTTTTATCTCCCTTCAGATCCGCCCATTCACTTTGTTGTCTTGTTTGCACGTAGTACGTGCATAGCTGCACCCACATGTAAGCTAAGGGCTTCCCGTCCCGTCTGTCTTTGAAGCTCTCTTTCCAGATTCACTTGCTCTTGTGCCCCTGGTTACTCTGTTTATCCTCGCATCTGCCACCTCTTTACCCCTAATTTATTTACAAGTCACCGCTGCCTTTCTTTCGTTTTGTTTTTTCGGCCTTCGGCGGACATTAGCGGCAAGGCTTCTTCCAGCTGTACGCCGTTGGCAAGCGTCTGTGAGTTCAGGACGACGCGGACGCCCTCGCGTCGTCTCTCCGTCCCACCTTTGTGGGACAGAGCGGGAGATGGCCGTCTCATTCCTGTGCGCAAGTTGGTGACAGCAAATCTCGTTGAGGATCTCAGCAGACGAGTGTGCATCTGATGACTGAGGCGCATAACGCACGCGAAGGTCCAAACCGTGAAGCCAGTCGAGTGTGAGTAATGCAGCGCGCATTGGTCCAACTGTTCTGGGGTTGGTGAGGGGAATGGTGAGCACGCTGAAAATTATAGCGGATATGCTTCTCGCAATGAGAGCTAGTCCTCCGGTAAGTAAGGGGGCGAGGTGAGCGGCTGCGAGGAAACACAGTGCTTAGGGGAAGCGTAGTAGTGACCGGAACGTGGAGATACCGTGGCTCGTGATCTACTGGGTTTGAAGAAACCCCTCTTCCTCATGTGAATTTTCACGCGAACGCACTCTCTCACACGCACACACACACACACACACACACACACACAGAGAGAGAG